TGAATTTGATATTTTCAATTTATTTCTGGCGAAATGAATAAAACAACATATTCTAAGTTTATACAGGGTGTATCTGAATAACACCGGAAGAATTCAACGAGTGCTTCCTTGTGACATTCTAGCAAATAAAGTTTTTCTAAACATGTATCCTAACTTGCTCCGTTTTGCTGTTCTTTCAATAGTTCAATCTATTAAAAATATGAAACTTACAAAAACCGGTGGTGTACAATGACATTCACCATGAATATCGATGAATGTATCCACTGTGACGCCACTGGAAATATTATTACGAATCTAATTGCACCAGAAGAATCTTCATATTACTATTAACAAACCCACAACGTTTTATTGAAATTGATGAAATGACAATAATTGAGAAATGAATGAATAGGCACTGTGAAATGGGTATACTTACCCGTGTTTCAGTAGCTGGTTGATGTTCCGGCCAACCCAACCCAACCCAATTTCCTTTTCCTTTCACGCCAACCTACCTCCTTTATACAGAATAAGCGATGATGAGTTCTCCTCAAGTAAAATTATCCGGAAGTAAGATACCTCTCCATTCGGTTTTCTGGAAGAGAGGTGCTAGAGGGGGTTCACCATCGGCTGAAAAAGTCCTCAAGATAGACCTATGTAACATATCCGAGGTCTAAGTAAGAACATCAACGATGTCCATCGATAACTTCAAATTGAAAAGCCAGACATATTGGCTCTTCCTGAGACACAGGTCAATTCATCCACCAATACGACCTATCTGCTCTGTCCTGGGTACGAACTCCACACACGTTTCAGATTCAAGGAAGGTCTCTGCCTCTACTCTAAAACGAATCTCTCATGTCAACGAGAAAAAACTTTGGAATCAGATAAGTTTGATGTCATGTGGTTCAAACTCGACAGCCAGAAACAGACTTAATAATTTTGTTGTCTCTACTTATTACCAAATGATCGATCCTATGAAGATCTCTTCGAAACTTGACCAAATTCAACAGAACCATCTAGCAGCAGAAATCATCATCATGGGCGATTTCAATGTACACAACACTGCTTGATGGCTCGTACACTCTAACAGAACGGATGAAGCTGGGCGTCAAGCCGAAGCTTTTGCCATCACTCACGGCTTAGAGCAGCTTATCGAAGAACCCACACGAATTCCCGATGCCAATAATCATTCAGCTAACATACTTGACCTATTCCTCACTAATAATTCAGCACCCTACACCAAAGATGTTCGAGCTCCACTTGGCAATTCTGACCACACACTTATCTCTACAACATGCCCATTTTTTATGCCATCAACTGCTCCGGCACCCCCTCGTCTTATATGGCATTACAATTCAGGAGATTGGGACGGTCTCCGCATGTTTTTCTCTGAGTTTTCTTTGCATAGAGTATGCTTTGACTCTGAGGACCCTTCACAGTGTGCTGCTCATTCTTCGAAGAGATCATCTCTTCCGAAACCCTGGTTCAACAAAAACTGTTCTAGAACTGTTGCCTTGAAACAAACAGCCTACCATCGCTGGCGCAAAAACCCTAACCTCGCGACTAGGGCAGAATACGTTGATGCCAGGAATAACTGCAGCCAAATAATAGATGCTTCGAAAGGAACATACAATGCCAAGATGAGATCGAAACTCATAGATTGCTCCAATGGCTTCCGTTCGTTTTGGTCCCTTGCTAAAGCGGTCGAAAGAAATTTCACTAATAGTTTATTTTCACCACTGTCCAAATCCGATGGCACATTAGCAACAACATCGCAGGAGAAAGCAAATATTTTTGCAGATATGTTCACAGCAAACTCTACTTTAGATTCCCAAGGAAGAGTGCCGCCAGACATTCCACCCGTTGAGAGTCGAATGCCCGAAATCGTCTTCTGTCAACGCACTATCAGAGAAATTTTGCTTGGTCTCAAAACGAATAAGGCTAATCCTCGAAAAATGTGCACCAGAATTAACACCGATTCTCTGCAAGTTGTTTACCGTCTCGTACAGGTCGGGTATTTTTCCATCATGCTGGAAGACAGCTAGAGTCCAACCAATCCCCAAATTAGGGAACAAGAACCTGCTCAACAACTACAGGCCCATTGCCCTGTTACCTATCAGTAATCTCCAAAGTGATGGAGAAAACCATCAATATTGAGCTCATCAAATATCTGGAGAGCTCAAGAATCATCAATGATAGACAATACGGCTTTCGCCACCGAAGATCTACTGGAGATCTACTTGCCTACGTCACCCATTTATGGCAAGCTTCATTAGAAAAACACGGGGCATCTCTAGCTGTCGCGTTGGACATTTCGAAAGCATTCGACCGTGTTTGGCACAAAGGACTCCTCCACAAACTTCCATCATACGGCTTACCACCTCAGCTATGCCATCTCATATCGAGTTTTCTTTCAGGCAGATCGCTTCACGTGGTGGTGGACGGTGTATCGTCTGATACCTTTGGCATCAATTCCGGCGTCCCACAAGGATCAATTTTGGCACCAACATTATTCCTTCTTCATATCAATGATCTGTTGGGAGTAACAACTTGCCCCATCCACAGCTTTGCAGGTGATAGTACCCTCCATACTGCGTTCTCTTCCAGAATTCCCATTTCTTCCCAGGAAACTAAAAACTCACGGCGCAGGCAGGTCAATGCTGTCAATGAAGATCTTGCTGAAATCACAGCCTGGGGAACCAACAACCTAGTTGAATTCAACGCCACCAAAACTCAAGCCTGCATTTTCTCTAGAAAGGCGGAACTCAGTATGCCCGATATTGTGATGTCTGGCTCCACCATCCCCACCAAGCCCACCATATCTATGCTCGGTATTTCCATCAGCAACACTCTTTCATGGGATAATCATGTCAGATCCATCGCAAAAGCTGCTTCACAAAAACTCGGATTCTTGTTCCGTGCGAAAAGCTACTTTACACCTCAACAGCTTCTCATGATATACAAAGCGCAGATACGGCCTGTTCTAGAATACTGTTCCCACATATGGGGTTCAGCACCAAAACATACGCTGATGCTCTTAGATTCCATCCAGAGAAGAGCCATTCGCCTGGTGGGTGACGCCACACTCACTCACTCTTTGACATCATTGGAACACCGTAGAAAGGTCGGCGACCTATCACTTTTCTATCGATACTTCCACGGGAAATGTTCTTCGGAAATCTCTGCTATCATCCCTCCACTAGCAATACCAATCAGACGAACTAGACAAGCCCAGTCAGCACATCCTTTCGTTGTCAACCTCGAAAGATGTCGAACAGCACTTTATCAAGACTCCTTCATCCATAGAACGGCTAGGCTCTGGAATTCATTGCCTGTGGAAGTATTCCCAACAACATATAATCTCCAAAAGTTCAAAAAAAATTCCAATACCTACCTCCTGTCCCTATCCTCCCTAGGAACGCGCGATGTTCTTTGAACATTATAGGGATTCCCTTACGTGCGCTCCAAGCGATAAAAAAAAATAGGTGTACTTATTTGTGATAATCAAAGAATCATTCTTGAATTTGAATGGGTAAATATTGTTCTGGAATCCTCCTCGGGAAAATTGCATATTATTTGTGTTTCATTCATATTGACAACAAGATTTTTCAGGGCAGTATATTCTTCTAGTATCCTGAGCTTTTTCACCACATCTATTTCGGAGTTTGCCAGAATGACCATATCATCGGCATAGAGAAGCGCCAAGACATCCTGTTTACCATCAATATTCACTCCTTGAGCTCCTTGTGTGTAAAAAAAGTCTTCAATATCTGATATGAAAAGTGGAAATAGAAGAGGACTCAAAGATTCTCCCTGTATTATTACTTTTAACATTTTCGGAGATACTCCCAAGTCGAATAATTCATCCCACAGAAGCTGATGTACTATTGAATCAAAAGCTCGACGAAAATCTACGAATATAGCGAAAAGTTTCCGTTTCCTATGTCTAATATGTAAATGTATAAGAGAGCTCAAAGTGCGTACATTGTTGATACAACCTCGGCCAGGCCTAAAACCTGCCTGACATTCTGGCAAAATTTTGCCGTCGTCTGCCCACAGAGAGAGCCTATCCAGAAGAATATGTGTGAATAGTTTTGCACACAATTGATTAGAGCTATACCCCTGAAATTCGCTGGCTCTTCTGCTGGCCCGCCCTTGTGGAGCATAGTTAACAAAATATCAGACCATGCATCGGGAGTGGAACCACTTTCAAATATTTTATTGAAAAGGACAGTTAAGTAGAGTATCCAATTCTGAGGAAGATTTTCGAGAAATTCATAACTTATATGATCAATTCCTGGTGACTTGTTATTTTTACAATTATTGATAACACCGTAAATTTCTTCAGGTGTAATAGGTTTATCGAGATATGGGGGACTGACATAAAAATGAAGTGCATCTTGATTTATTCTTGGTGGATAGATATTTCTATGAAAAACTTTCCATACTTGAGAGGGAAGAGTTTTTTGCCTCGAGTAACCTCATAATTGTTTGACGGTCAACCAGAAATCCTTAGGGTTTGATAAGTTACTCAATTTATTGATAATATCTGCATTATGATTCTATTCTTTAGTTGCTATTAGTTGTTTGTATTCTTTCTTAGTTTCAATGTAACGCTGTTTGGAGGTTTCAGAGAAAGCATCTTGTCTAGCTGTTTTTAAAATAATCCCAAGTTGTTTTTTAGCGTCAGTGCAAGTTTTATCAAACCAAGGTTTGTGTCTGCTTATTTTATTATTTCCTGGTTTATTATTCATTATTTTCTTCAATCCTAGATCATTAGCAATATCATATACAGCTTCGCAAAAGTTGATATATAACTCGTTAGCATCAGATATAAAACCAACTCTGTTCGAATTGCGCATAGCCATTTAATAATCTATTGCGATTTCAGGTTTCCAAGTGGGCATTCTAGGGTTAGAAACATTATTTACCTAATGAGTTTCAGGTGAGGAAATGGTCAGATAAAAAGTCATCTTCACCTGCAAAAAATTGCTCACTTCGGATAAATGAATGTTACTTACCCAAACAAGATCCACGACACTCAGAACTTGATATTAGGACTATGCTGAGCCTGTCTTCAAATAAATTAGAATTTTCGACAACTTCACTATAGGCAGAGTGCCAAAATTGGAGACACGACTTTTACTTCGTTATATTTTAGTTGAACGCTTTGTATATAATTTGGATATGTCATTGAGGTTTGATAGAAAAAAAAAAGATAGTAGTAAAAAAATAATAATTTTGAAAGACGTTAGAGTTCTAATTGTACGGGACGAAATAAAAGGTATAATTAAGACCAGACAATTTTTGATTATTCGACGAAAGAGATTTAACATTGGTCCTTCGAGCCGGATAACTGGTTCTTTGGAAAATGCAGCCCAGAGAAGAGAATTTGAAGAAATTCACCAGTACCCGGAAAACAGCAGGTACTCACGGTAATCTTGACAACGATTTTGAATGGCCACCAAATTTTGGAAATATGTCAAGAAGAGAAGTCAATGTGACAAGAATAAATGATAATACGACGATACTTCAGCCAAACCAGGGTGTAAATATTATGAATATGAACAATCAGGATGAAAACCCAGAGGAAGAGGAGTCACTTAGCCAGACTGACAAAGCGAATGTAACTCCGAAATCCAAACCTGACAATGATAACTTGGATAAGTCATCTGTTTGTTCAAAAAAGACAAAAACCTCTGTAAGTAGTAGTTTTACTGTGCACAGAAAAAGACATGCCCTAGAGGTCGAGAAGTTGAGACAGGCCATCGAAATGAAAAAACTCGAAAATGAACTCAAATTGCTGGAACTTGAGAACGAAGTACGTGAAACAGAATTAATAGAACAAGACGAAACTTTATCAGTGAAAAGCAGGTTACCTCAAGACCAGTGTGAAAGAAATACCATACAATGGGTAAACAGTATCCCTGAAAATAATTCCGGTTGTCAACAAGAAGCAAAGAGGACAGAAATTATGCAAAATAATTGTGAAAACACTGAAATCAGACAGCTCTGTGAAACTATAAGTGAAGCTATAAAATCAGTTTCCTCCGTGCCAAGACAAGATAGATTCATAGCCAGGCAGGTGGTGGAAAAAGATTTCAGTTACTTTGATGGAAACCCCGAGGAATGGCCCACGTTCATCAATCAATTTAAACGAATTTCTACATTATGTGAATATTCGCCAGAAGAAAAAATCATCAAACTTCAAAAGTGTCTCCGAGGTGAGGCTCGACTGGCAGTCTCAGGCATGTTGACCACCTCGGCAAATATTGATTTGATATTGGAGACCCTTCAGATGCGCTTCGGACGTCCAGACCAAATTATTGATGGATTAATCACCAAGACAAAAATGTTACCATTCGTCAGAGAACATAATATGGACTCACTGATTCAGTTTTCAAACAATCTTAACTGTCTTGTGGCAACAATCAAGTCTCTTGCATATTATGAACACCTCCAAAATCCTCAACTTTTGCGAGACCTGATTCAAAAACTGCCTGATTCTTTGAAACTACAGTGGGGTGAGAAAATTATGCACAGCAGTATACGAGCAAATCTCGAAGATTTTTCGGTGTGGATGAATGAGAAAGCATCCGCGGCAAGCCTCGTGAACTTTTCAAGAAATCCTAAGGTTGAATCAAAAGTTAAACAGACATTTCCACTACAAAAAAGACATGAAAGTAACTTGGTTTCAACAGACAAAGGAGAAAATGTAGAATATTGTAGATACTGCAGATCTAGAGGACATCTAATAACAAATTGTTCAAAAATGAAGTCTGACGAAGTGGATACACGATGGGATGTAGTGACAAAGCTCAAGTTATGCTTTTCGTGCCTTCGAAACAACCATCAAACGACCATATGCCGATCCAAGCAACAGTGTGGAATAAATGGTTGCAGACGAAACCATCATCATATTCTCCACAAAGACCCTCAGCCTGAGGAAAAACAAAATACTGACGACTCCCTTTCGACACCCAGTACAAGTCAGAAACATCAGGAAAATATCCTTGCCATCGGACATGGCTCTGGAAATGTTCTTCTTCGAATGGTTAAGGTGAAACTTTATGGGGAGAATACAATGATCGAAACTGTTGCTATTTGTGATGAAGGTTCGAGTATTACATTGATTGACAAAGCCCTGACCAAAAAGCTACATCTAAAAGGGAAATCACAACCTTTATGCATGCAGTGGACGAATAATATGACTTCTAGACATGAGAATTCGATTTGTGTGAACCTAGAAATATCTGGAGCTTACAAGGATGCCAAAATCTTTCCCATGCGGAATGTAAGGAGTGTTGAGAACTTATCTCTACCAACTCAAACCATTCGGACGACTGACTGGGAAAGATACCCATATCTTGGAGGAATCCCATTCAGTGAAATCGACGAACAGTCTATGATATTACTTGGACAAGATAATATCCACTTGACAGTCGCCAGGAAAGTGGTACAGGATGATGAAGACTTCACATCTCCTATAGCTACCAAGACCAAGCTCGGATGGATTCTCCATGGTAAGGCAATGGCGAATGAGTCCAAGTTATATTCATTCCACATTTGTGACAGTGAGATATCAGACGAAAATCTTCATGAGTTGGTGAAGCAATCTTTCGCAACAGACGCCTTTGGAACAATTCCTTTTCCTAATCTACTCACGAAAAATGAAAACAGAGCGATGAAAATCATGGAAAAGACAGCTAAACGCCTTGATGATCGATTCGAAATAGGACTATTGTGGAAAGAAGACAATTTACAATTACCAGAGAGTGAATCGACAGCAATTCAACGTCTCAGATGTATTGAAAGACAAATGCAGCGTAACTACGAATTCAAGGCTCGGTACTGCGAAAAAATCGCCAGTTATGTGGAGAAGGGATACGCCCAGAAGTTGTCTTCCGAAGAAGCAGCAATGGAAGGTCCCAGAAACTGGTATTTGCCCCATTTCGGAGTTGTCAATCCTAAGAAACCTGGCAAATTCCGTATGGTGTTTGACGCAGCATCCAAGTCCCACGGAGTCAGCCTCAACGATAACTTACTAAGTGGCCCGGACTTGTTACAATCCCTTATTGAAGTGCTGATGAAATTCCGACTTCGTAAAATTGCATTCAGCAGTGACGTCCGTGAAATGTTTCACCAGGTACGCATCATAAAGGACGACCAAAGCTCCCAGAGATTTTTATGGCGAAATGGAGATCCAGAAAGACAGTTAGAAATCTATGAGATGCAAGTCATGACGTTTGGGGCTACATGCTCACCCACCTGCGCTCAATTCATAAAAAATCTGAATGCAAATCAACTTACCGACCGAAGAGAGATCCTTGAAGCAATAATAAAAAAGCATTTTGTAGACGATTACCTGGACTGTACGGGCACTATTGAAGAGGCTCTCGATATTATATTCGAGGTGAAACGAATCCAGAAACTAGGTGGTTTCGAATTGGTTAACTGGATTTCTAACAGCAAGCATCTCATGGAAAAACTCTCTCAGAATGAAGATATATACAAAGATTTGAATCTGGACTGTGATAGCAAAACTCAGCAAATTTTGGGACTCTCGTGGAATTCAAAATTGGACACATTCTGCTTCAAATTAGAAAAACTGAGAGGATCTGACGATGACCTCAACAGACCGACAAAAAGACAGGTATTGAAGACGGCTATGTCCATTTTTGACCCCCTTGGACTCATTGTGAACTTCACCATCAAAGCCCGAATCCTCATTCAGGATATTTGGCGATCTGGTATTGGATGGGACGATCACATAGACGAAGACTTGAACCGAACTTGGATTTTATGGAAGGAAGATCTGGAAAAAATCTAGAATCTCTCCATTGCTCGATGCTACTCTTCAAGAATTCCTGAAGCAGAAAAATTGGAGCTACACGTGTTCTGCGACGCCAGTAAAAAAGCCTTTGCTACTGCGGCTTACTTCAGGGCATTAACCGTCGAAACAGAGGATATAACACTCGTTATGGCACGTGCTAGAGTTGCTCCGACGAAACCAATCTCGATACCTAGACTAGAACTTCAAGCCGCTGTTATGGAAAGCCGACTAGCCAAATCCATCAAAGAAACCATGGAGACAAGAATCGACCGATTATATTTATGGACTGACTCGACTACGGTTCTTTATTGGATACGGGGTGATGCTAGAAAACTTGGACAATTTGAAGCCCATCGCATCGGCGAAATTCAAGAGATCACAAATGTAAACGATTGGTACTGGGTTCCATCGAAATTGAATGCTGCAGATATCGCAACCAGATCATATGATTCAGACGAAAAAATCGACTTCGAGACATGGTTCAAAGGTCCCGCATTCCTTTATGATAGAGATGAAGAGCTTTGGCCGAAGAAATATCAAGACAAGGTAATTGATGAAAATGAAGACATTGAATTCGTTGACATAGCTGTAGAAGAGACTTCATATCTACCAGATATCAACAGATTTTCGAAATTGTCCCGACTTCTGAGAACGACTGCCTGGGTTCTCAGATTTACCAAGACTATGATCTCCAGAGTAAGAAAATTGAATGACAAATTTCAAAAATGTTTGACACCAACGGAAATAGACAATTCTAAACTGCTATGGATTAAGAAATGCCAAGAAAACTGTTTTCATGAAGAAATACAGTGCCTCCTGAAGAATAAGTTGTTGAAGAACCACAGTCGTTTGAAGAAACTTTCTCCAACAATTGATGATCGAGGAATATTGATTCTCAGTGGTAGAACTGACCTTGCACCAGACATGGAACCATGTACGAAACGGCCAATCATTCTCCCTAAAAAACATAGACTGGTTGATCTACTAATACAAGATTGCCATGAGAGATTCGCCCATCAAGGTGTGGAGACTGTTCTTAATGAAATACGAAGACAATACTGGGTGATAGATGGAAGGAGCGTGGTGAAATCGATTTTCGCAAAATGTCGGAAGTGCAGGCTAAACAAGTCGAAACCAATTATACCAGTAATGGGACAACTACCTGTAGAAAGGTTGAAACCTTCAGTGAGACCCTTTACATATACAGGGGTAGACTATTTCGGACCATTGCTGGTAAACATTGGAAGAAGACGTGAGAAAAGATGGGGCGTCATTTTCACATGTCTGACAATACGAGCTGTTCATCTGGAAGTTGCACACTCGTTAACTACCGATTCGGCTATTATGGCGGTGAAAAGGATGGCATCCAGAAGAGGCCAACCGAGGGAAATCATTTCGGATAATGGTACCAATTTTCGAGGTGCAGCTGAAGAGTTGAAGAGAACATTGGAGGGACTGGATCATGAGAAAATTGCTGACACTCTCACAGAAAATGGTATCCATTGGAAGTTTATACCACCAGCATCACCTCATATGGAGGGTGCCTGGGAGAGAATGGTACGTTCAGTGAAGACAACATTCAATGTTATACTGAATGGACAGGTCCTGAAAGATGAACTCCTCCAAACCATATTCGCAGAGTGCGAGAACATCATTAATTCGAGACCCCTGACAAAGATATCTGTGGATCCAAACGACTTTGATTCCCTGACACCAAATCATTTCCTACTGGGAACCTCCAATAGAACGATGGAGTTTCCGAACAATGTGGACTACAGAAGAGAATGGATGAAGTCACAAAAAGTAGTCGAAAGCTTTTGGAAAAGGTGGACCAAAGCGTATCTCCCAACATTGACAAGACGAACGAAATGGACTGACGATGAAAAACCACTGAAAGTTGATGATATTGTCATCATAGTTGAAGACAATGCACCAAGGAAATCCTGGAAATTAGGAAAAGTACAAGAGATTTACCCAGGACTCGATGGAAGAGTGCGCATCGCAGATGTGAAAACTTCTACTGGAATCTACAAAAGGCCAGTGGCTAAGCTTTGTAGAATCGATGTAGAAGACCCCCGAGGAGATCAAGAGAGTGAGACGAGTTAAACTCCCTCACGGGGGGGAGAATGTAGTTGAAGTCACCACCAATTATGATAATCGCATCTGCATACTTTTCTGTTATTTCTGTTAAAGTCATCTGAAAAGAATCTAGAATCAATTCAATGTATTAATACTTGGTTTCAAGTATATACTGCAGACGATGATATCGTGGCAATGAAAAGAGAATAGACAAATTATCCAGTTGGTCGATTTATCTAAGATGTTGAGCTTGAAGATATTTCGATAAAAAACACAAAGTCCACCACTTGCCCTTCCTAATGATTTTTCTTTCACCGCACCTACACAAACCACATCAAAGTCTGATAAACCTGATGGGGGTGATGCTATCTCGGATGTCACCCATGTTTCACAGATACAAAGAATGTCAAAATATGATGAGGAGATGATATTGATATTTCTATATCCATGACAGTTCCAGAATGTTATAGTAAGTTTTTTGAGACACCAGTATCAATTTTGTTGATTTTAACAGTATTTTGTCTTGGTGAAAAATCTTCTTCATTGCCTCTTGGGTTTCCAGGTACAATTTGGGGCTGGCCATTATGGAATTTAATTTTGAAGTTTTCGCCTTTTGCTTTTCGTTCATCCAGTTGACGGAACACTTCGGTGATTTTTTCTTTTTGAAGACGGGTGTAATCATTCGCAACTTCCAAATGAGGGTATATTTGGCTTTAGGTAATTTAGCTATGTTACGTAAATCTAAGACAGCTTCATCTTTAGATGCAAACTCTACTTTTACTGGACGGACTCGTCCAGTGCCTTTATTTGAGTTTCCCAGTCTTACTGTTTTAGTAAAAGTGATAATGGTTGGTTTAACCATTTCCGCTAAAATATCAGAGACGGCCTGGTCGATATTCAAGGCTTCATCTATGCCATAGTTTTTTTTTCTCGGTCTAATCTATTTTTGAGCATTATTCGAAATAATAACTAATCTCTTGGAGATATACATATATGAAGATTTTTTATAATTCAGAGTCAACTTATGAATTTTCATCCAAGATGATATGTTTTCCAAATCAGTTTTGATATCCCGTTCGATATTATTTAATTCTTTCGATATATAAATCAATGTTGTATCATCCGCAAATAATTTAAGCTTTCCTCTAAAGTTCAGAGTTGATATTGAAATAATATAAATTGAAAATGAAATTGGTCCCAGAACTGACCCTTGCGGTACTCCACATGTGATATTCTTCAGTTAGCCACAAGAATCATTCAGTTCAACATACTGCTTTCCATTTGTCAAATAATATGTGAACCAATCATGAATTCTTCCTCTGATACCGATTGAATGTCATTTATTTAGTAAAATGGTATGATCTATAGAGTCAAATGCCTTACATAGGTCCAAGGACAAGAAGCCACATTTCATTACAAACTAAAAAATTTTTTATGTGATTATACTGTCGCAGTTCAATCACTGTGCCCTTGTCTAGATAATACTGATATTCGTCGAGTTCAAAAGGTCCAGAACTGTTGTATTCGGCTTATTTATGGTATAAAAAAACGGGAGGGAGTTTCTCATAAACTGAAGGAGTTGAATTGGCTCAATATGAAAAACAGAAGGCTTCATCACATGGGTTGTTTCTATCACAATTTGATTCTTACCAAAACTCCGCCCTATTTATTCGAAAAAGTGTACCGAACGGATGTGCATAACCTAAATATAAGGCGTCAAACCATTTTAACAATTCCAAGTCACTCCAAAACTATATTTGAACGGTCTTTTTCCTATAATATTGCATCGAGTATTAACAATCTGTACAACATAGACCCCTCTCTCCTCAATAGATCACAAACCTCATTCAAGATCAAATATAAAAGTATTCTTCTGGACACTCAATAGCCGAAAGTTACTCTTATTTCTCTTCTTCCTCTTTCCTCCATCGTCTTCTCTCTTCTTTGTTCTTTTCTGCTTTCTTTTTCCTCCTTTTATATACCTACCAATGATATACTTGCCAACTGATTTCATTTTTATTCTTCATCCGAATGGCATTGGTGGAAGAACAGAAGTGGATGCGTTCCACATTCTGAACCTACATGCCAATTGTTTATCGAAATGTATATTTGCAATATCTATATGATGTATATCCACATATGATGAACAATAAATGTATTATCATTATTATTATTTAAAATTCTCGTCAATCCGTGACTGGATGTCTGACATCACATCCATTTCAGCTATCTCTGTATCCTTTGACCTACGGAATCCTTATTGACCACTGTACAATGGATTGTTTTTTTTTCAAGGAAGTCAAGAAGACGATTATTCATGATTTTTCCTATAATTTTAGAAAGGATAGGGAGGACAGATATTGGCCTGTAATTATTCATATCGTCTTTCTTACCAGTTTTGTATATTGGCAATACTTTAGCAATTTTCATTTTGTCAGGAATAATACCAGTGTCAAAAGATTTCGATGAAATGTTCAACAAGAGGGTAGTTAATTCAGATTTGATTATTTTCACAAGATTTCCGTACATCCAAGTTATAAACTATATTTTCAATTCCTGGAATATTTGTTGGTGTTAGGAACATAGATAAAACACTTGAACAATCGTTGAATGTTTCAGAAATTGGAGGTATTTTCGAAGATCAATTTGGACCAACATTAATGAAGTGATTATTAATTTTATCACTCATCACATGATATTTTGATATTATTCAATGTGATATATTTGATATTATCGGTCTAATTTTTTGATTTATTGTATAAGAGTGAATTGATTCTATTCCAAACTGATTTCGGAGTGCTATTGAAAATATGGTTATCATAAAATTCCCATTTCGATTCCTTTATTGTTTTCTTCACCAAAATATTATAGGAGTCATATTGATCGGTGGAATGATTTATATTTGGGTGATTTTTTCTTTTATGATGAAATTTGTCACGTAATTTGTTTTTGTTTTGTGATTGCATTACCTATGGTACTATGGTTTGGAGTCACGCCTTTGTCTGATAATATTTGATGTCAAACAATTATGGAAAATGTTCAATAGTTCTTCATATGCTACATCAAGAATACTGTAATTATCCATATTGACATTCAGCATTTCCAATTCAGTTCGTAATTTTTTTATGTCATATTTTCTCATTAATTTGGTCACATATTTCTTATTGTCCAAGATTGGTTCAGGAATGCAAGTTAGGTAAAATTAATGGTCACTTAATGAGTTGTTGATAATGCAAACGACAAGATTCTTTTTTGAATTTATCATGAAATGGTCAAGTAGTGATGAGTTTCTAGTTAGAATACTTTCATAACAATTCCTGAAACTACTAAAATTGTGGATATCTATCAAATCTTCTGATTCAGTGCTATTCATTAATAACTTTATGTTTATATTACCAAAGTAGAAACAATCACATTTGTTTCTATCAATTGTATCGAGTGACTTTTCCATAAAATTCAAGAAATAACGGATATTTTGATCTTGTGATCTATACATGCCACAGGGTACTAATTCTGGGGATTTGATTTTAATTGCCAAATATGTTAAAGGGGATTCTTCTTTCTGAATGGTATCAAAATTAAAATTTTCATGTATGAAAATTCCTACACCACCAAATTTCTACGAACCTTATTTTCTAGTTTTGTTGAGCAGGGATCTTTAATCCAAGGTGACAATCCATGCTGATCATCCTTTTCAACATTTTCATCGAAAATCAGCGATCCGACATATGATGGATGCTAAGGGAAAAAATCCGTTTTAAATAACATGGACAGCTACGATTCCAATTTGAAAAAATGGAACTTCAGGCCCAAACTTGAAATTGCACTTTTTATCAATGCTACCAGATTATAACATATTTATATTCATATTCAGAAAGACAGTTAGTTTCTTATAAACTGGATTGTGATATACTGGGTGTCCCAACTCTATTCATACACGCATTTTCTCGAAAACGGTTGACATTATCAATGTTCTGAAAAAACTGGCTTGAATGAGAAAGTGTATCGGTGAAAATGGCCAACCTATAATTTTCGAAGTTCAATAATTCGAAAATGATTACGAATATCAATATGGATGTTGAGATGAAAGATGTTCCTGTTTCGATCTTACACCAAATGGCCTAAAAATATATGGGGTGTTCCATTCGAAAAACTCGAGAAAAATCACTTCCAAAAGTTCTGAATTAGAAAATCAGTTTTAGCCGAATGTCCCGAACCAAAAATAAGTGTCCTCGGGACGTCCCATCCCGTACGTCTCATGCAATGTCCGAGCAAGGACGTCCACGGAATGTCCTAGCTGGTACATCATTTCAAATGTCCTAGAAATAGCATCCCTTAGACGTCCCACATGGTACATATTGTAGAATGTCCATGCAAGGACGTCCTCGGCATGTCCCTGATGGGATATGATTTTAAACGTTCTTTTAGGGACATCCATCGAATGTCCCGAGTAGTACATATTCTGGCATGACTTCAGATTTTATATAATATCCCTTCTGGACAACAGTGAAATGTCCCTGATGGTACAGGGTATCCCACATAACATGGGCCACCCCCTTATCTGGTAAACTATCATATATACAGAAAAAAGTTCAGAATAAAAGTTGTTTTACTTCTTATGAAATTTATTTTTTAGATACTTTCATTTATACAGGATGGTCCATATGTCTGTGACTTATCACACATACGTTTTTTCAAATAGAATACCCTATATTTTATCATATTTTTAGATAGTACTTAAGAAGACGAGTTCAATGATATATAATAACATGGGTCTGAGATCACCCGTTTCGGATTTATACACGATCTTCTTCAATAAATTGCCAAATTTCGAAGCCCTATAGAAACGTTGCGAAAGAAGTTTACGATTCGCAGTTTCCGCTATAAATTAACAAAGTCTGTATTTTATTCTGTTCTATGGTGAAAATTTAGGAATTTTCAATTTGCTAAAAGTGATGACGTATTTTGAAAACCAATAAATATCTCGAGATTTTCAAATGGAACACCCTATATTCCATTTCAAATTTGCATAGAGCTCAGGAAGACGAGTTCAATGATATATCATAACATGTGTCTGATATCACCCGTTTCGGACTTATACACGATCTTCTTCAATAAATTGCCCAATTTCAAAGCCCTATAGAAACGTTGTGAATGAAGTTTTCGATTCGCAGTTCCCGCTATAAATTAACAAATTTTGTATGTCTTCTTGATCCATGGTGAAAGTTTATGAATTTCGCATTGGCCAAAAGTGATGATGTATTTTGAAAAACGATAATTTTTTACAAATTTTCGAATGGAACACCACCCTATTTCATTCCATCTTTGGATGAAGCTCAGAATGACGAGTTCAATGATATATTATAATATGGGTCTGAGATCACCCGTTTCGGACTTATACACGATCTTCTTGAAAAAATAATCAAATTTCAATGGCAAAATTCTGACTGTTATCTTCATATTAGATAAAAATTTTGTAATTTCTGTGAAACAATTCGTAATGAAGAGTTTTGAAATAAACGAATGTTATCGAAATTTTTATGTAATGTTATACTACTATTTCACTGGAAAACATTTTGGAAATGATTGAGCACAGGTTATTACAATTAAATTAGACCTACATTTGACTCTATACGAGACCAATGCGGGAATATTCAATTAATAAAATGTATTTGAACATTTTTTCTGATTGTCTGCCTTATCAATTCGGATGCATTCATTGCAATAAATGTCATTTCCTCATAAAAATCGTATATCTTTCATACTGTTCAACATTTTTCATTGAATTCTCAATGAATAAACACTGGACATAAGTAAATGATCGAAGAGAAAACCAAAACTCAAAGTGGAATGACATGCCAACGTGAGCTGAGTTAGGCTGTGCACTCATAGATGGGATTTTTGTTCATGTCATATCAATAACTGTCAAACCCGATTATTTATTGTTGAATTGGTGCAGAGAAACTCTTTCAAAATGCATATTTATTCTAAAGAAGAGAGATTTGACCTTTATGAGTGCTATTTATTAAAAAACAGAAATACTGTGCTGGCTTTGAGAGAATATCGTGACCGTTTTCCACAAAGTGTCGTACCAAACAAAAAAATATTTCAGAGAATAGAGAACGATATCCGAACTAAAGGTATTCTCAAACCGAATAAGAGAACTAGAGGAAATGTAGTTTTGACCGAAGATCGTGTATAAGTCCGAAACGGGTGATCTCAGACCCATGTTATTATAGATCATTGAACTCGTCTTACTAAGTTCTATGCAAATATGGAATGAAATATAGGGTGTTCCATTTGAAAATCTCGAGATAATTATTGGTTTTCAAAATACGTCATCACTTTTGGCAAATTCAAAATTCCTAAATTTTCACCACGGAACATGATAATATAGAGACTTTTTTAATTCATAGCGAAAGTTGCGAATCGAAAACTTCATTCACAACGTTTCTATAGGGCTTTGAAATTAGACAATTTATTGAAGAAGATCGTGTATAAATCCGAAACGGGTGATCTCAGACCCATGTTATAATATATCATTGAACTCGTCTTCTGAAGGACTATCTAAAAATATGATAAAATATAGGGTGTTCCATTTGAAAAAACGTATTTGTGATATGTCACAGACATATGGATCATCCTGTATGAATGACAGTATCTAAAAATCAAATTTCATGAGAAGTTATACAATTTTTATTCTGAACTTTTTTCTGTATATATAATAGTTTACCAGATAAGGGGGTGGCCCAAGTTATGTGGGATACCCTGTACATTCCTTCAAATATCTCTGCACAGACGCCCTTAATATTTCCAGGATCGTATAACAATCGAAATGTCCCTTAGGAATATCCGTCGGATGTCCCAATTGGTTCATGAACTGTATTCTTCCAACGTCCCAGATAAAACGTCCTATGGACGTCCCAGTTGGTACTTTCAATATTATGTCCCTGCGAGGACGTTTACTTACACCTCGCCGACGAATCATTGCTCGTAGGCTATGAGTACTCCTCGTTCAATGTCTTTCACGTAAGTCCATTGGACATCCGTGGGAAACTTTTTGGGGACCTTCTACGGACAATCAAATCAACTGGATGTCCTAATCAGTTATGCAAGATCTGGTCCTAGAGGGACCCAGAAAAATTCAAATTCAAGAATGATTCGTACGTCCTTGGGACATCCTGATGTCGCGTCAATTGGACGTGGAAAATTGGACGCACGACTATTGGTCGCAGTCAATTGGACGCGGCGACAATTGGACGCGGCGACAATTGGACGCGGCGACAATTGGACGCGGCGACAATTGGACGCGGCGACAATTGGACGCGGCGACAATTGGACGCGGCGACAATTGGACGCGGCGACAATTAGACGCGGCGTCAATTAGACGCGGCGACAATTCGACGCGGCGACAATTCGACGCATGCGTAAATAAAAATAATTTTATAATTCCAATGAAATTCATTGTATAAAATATGAAATACTGATGGGCTTATATCCATAATTATAACAAATACCTATGGCCTCGTTTGACAATTATTTTCCTCATATCGTAATATGTATTTACGATACGAATATAGTACAATATTTTACCTACTACCAAAAACGCTGATTATTTAATCAAATATGAGGGTTGGGTTAGGTTAGGTTAGGTTAGGTTAGGTTAGGTGTTATATTATAGATATGAGCCCTGCATATTCCATGCAATAAATTTCATTGGAATTATAAAATTATTTTTATTTTCGCATGCGCTCAATTGTCGCCGCGTCCAATTTTCGTCGCGTCCAATTTTCGTCGCGTCCAATTGTCGCCGCGTCCAATTATCCGCGTCCAATTTTCGTGCGTCCAATTGACCACGTCCAATTGTCGGTAATCCGGACATCCTATGAACATCCAATTGATTTACTTCACCGTTGCTGAAAGGTTGTCCTATGGATGTCCTAAGGATGTCCTCTGTAGTGCTTGATGAAAAATACTGTAGGATTTAGGTATTCGATAGTTGTCCCAGGGACATCCCTCAAGGACGTCCCTAGTTGGTCCTCAAGTCGAACATTTGTGCGTCCCACAGACGTCCAATGGACGTCCACGGTACCAAATTCGAACGTCTTATGGACGACCTGAATGTCCCGACAGGACGTCCTAAGGATATCCATATGGGACATAAGTGTGTTATTAGGGTTGCTCATGATTGAAACCTCATAGTATTGGTATTGTTCAACATACTATCACGAACTATTCAATCGACCTTTCAAGTCTGGATATTTTCGAAGAAGCATTTCAGTTTATACTACTCAATTCAATATTTCGAATTGATGAGAAACAATCATGTATTTATACAACTTTCTGTCTATTCACTTGTTCACTTCACATCTTACGATGACGAATGACGACGCACGCTCAAAAATACAGGAAAAACGGAGTGGAAGAACTATGATGAACACATCACTGGTCCACTGACTAAAAAATAATGTCAATTAAATAAATCGGCATACTAATGGTACATTGTGATTTTATTGATGACTTCATGACATTGAAGTATCTATATCATTGAATCATCATTCAACCAGTACTGTTCCAGTGATCTTCGTTAAATGAAAAATACCCTATAAATCTATACAAAATATACCTAATATCTTACCAACACAGCAAAAGTGCATCATACGTATTGTATAGAAAAAGTAATGAATATGAACATTTTCCTTACCGACCAATAGTATCAAACTGATAGTTCATCGAATCGCCAGGTATCCAGTGTTTGCTGGGAAATTTTTGCAGTTGCTGAACTATCCACAAGGGATATTATAAATCTTTAGTTCATAAAATATTGGTATCGAAACGATTAGAATAGATTAGATTCTAATCGAAACGATAGAACAATTTAACTTTTTTGCGAACAAACTCATTCACGTAGGCAGCTCTATCATTGATTGAGAATAATTGACCACTCACTTTCACAATTTATTCATATATATTTCTATTGTTTAGAGATAAGACAATCATGCACTTTTAAAAAAATTGGCAATGATCGCTTCGTGATAATTACGAGAGTATCTATTATATTCAGTCCATATTGCTCAAAGTGGAGTGAAAATGTTTCAAATGGAGGATAGAATGCTCAAAGTCGTCTCCATAAATATTTAATAATGTCGTCATAAACTCAGGGACATTTTTCGATCTTGGAAAAGACCATCTTCAGCCTAGTAGAAGTTTTGGAGTTTAAAAAATTGAATTACTAACTAGTAGTTCTGCCTGCCGATGCCCATATAGTCAGAAAATTCATGTTTAAAGGAATAAATGGTACTAACGGGTTCTCATTGAATGAAGGACCCCGTGCCTTGACAGAGCGTACCAAACAGGGTGTATCTAAATAACACCGAAAAAATTCATGAGGTGTTTCCTTGTCACATTCTAGCAAATCAATTGTTTTTATTTATAACCACCCCTGTATAAGTTTTCTTGGTGCCAAAATTCAGTATGGATGGGGAAGTGTCTATTCGCACGCAGTGCGTGCATACGTACGAATACGTACAAATAGCGATAAGGCACTTTATCCGTACGTTTACGTGCGAATAACCACCAAGAATGCTATCTAGAAGAATGCTATCTTGACACAATCTATCTCGTGCTGAAAAATCCCCGGACTATTTGGGAATAAAACTCTACAATCATTCACCTCAAGAAATCAGAGAAATGAATTTTACCAAGTTCAATTCGTCCATAAAGCTCATATTGACTCAGGGCGCTTATCATGACATACATGAGTACTATGAATCTAGCTTACTATAACAGCATAGTGTATTAAATTGGTAGTGTGTATACCCCAAATTGTCAATTGGTGTTGTTTTACTCAAATTGTCTTTTCTTTTTACCTCATAATATGTCGATTTTATTTTATTCACCATATGTGTAAATGTTTTTCGTTTTATCCTAGGTGTGAATCTTGAATTGTAATTGTAATTCTCATTATCTTACGTGTAAATCATAATTTTAAATGTCTTTGCCTATGCTGCATACTTTTTTAAAATACTTTTTTTATAACTGACGTGTATATCCATTTTCGGATGGCTACTTAATGCTAATACGAATAAACATTATTATTATTATTATTATTATTATTATCCGTACGTAAATTGACAACTATATTTGCGTACGGATAGGCTTTCCCATATCTATCCGCACGTAAACGTACGGATAGGCTTTGGCATATTTACACGTACGTATACGTACGGATAGGCTTTGACATATTATACGTACGTATACTTACGAATAGATATGGAAAAGCCTATCTGTACGTATACGTACGTATAAATATGCCAAAGCCTATCCGTACGTATACATCCGTATGTGTGCATTGCATGCGGATAGGGTGAAGATACTTTATCCGTACGCCCACGTACAAATAATTTCCATGAATGCTCATGGTACGTAACGGCAGCGTTTGTAAAATATTGAATACTGTGATCAATCACGTATATTTGATGCATGTAATCATATCAAATTCAAATTTGGAGGCGATATGAAAATAAGTTATATCACAATGTGTTAGGCACAGATGAAAATGTGCTAAAAAAATTGGAAGAAGTTCCTACATTTATTCAGATCAATGTGATCGACAAAACAATCGATCAAATTCGGATTGCTATAATGCTTCCATATCTTTACAAAAACTCCTGATATAAGAGTGAGAGAAATAACACCTGATATAAAAGTGAACCTTATATCGTATACGTACGTCAACGTATAGGTACTGCCAGCCATATTCGTACGTAAACGTGCGGATAGGCATTGGCATATTATACGTACGCATACGTACATATAGGTACGTCGAAACCTATTCGAACGTAAACGTGCGAATAGGATTTTAGCATTTTATTCGTACGTAAACTTACTAATAGATGCAGCCTATGGATGGAGACTATGAGAAAGCCCCAAAATTTCAAAATAATTCTAATTGGGGTTATTGAGTAATATCAATGGAAGTCTTGGAACACCATCATCAAAATTTGGAGTCAAATCGAATTTGTAATGTTTCCTCAAAATCTAAGCTAGATACAAAAATCACACAGGGGATAAAAAAGTTGTTATTACAATACTTCATTTTGATAAAAATATGAAACTCAGAAAAACCGGTGGTGTACAGGGTGTCCCAAACTGGATGCGTTCTTATGGGAACACCCCTTATTTGAAGAGATGGAAAAAAATTAACCTAGGTGTCCGGAGCTTAAATTCAATAAGGAAACCAATGGCGCAAACGAGACTTTGCTATCTCTTATCGTTTGGCCGCCTGAGGGCATTTCTGGAATTTTGTCGATTTCTTTAATGCCCCATAACTTTCTTAATAATGAAGATAATTAATTTTGGTGAAAACTTTCTCAGAGCACTTTTTTCTATAGAATCTATTGAGATGAGAAGTTTTTCTACAGGGCGTTCAGATTGCACAGCATCATCCCAAACTCTGTTTCTTTAAATGGACCACCCTATATATTTTGATATTTTTGAGAAGTTCGTAAAATATCCTGAATTTTGGTGTATCACTCGTCATGTTTATCTCAGAAACCATCAGCAACATTACGATTTAAAAATTAAAATATTGTGCCTACAGAAATCAAGATTGCCCTGACTAATGAAATGACATAGTAGCATGTTATAGTTGAAACCACCGATCTAAAGTTCTTACGTAAACAAGCAGTAGGCCGTCGTGATCATGATTATTCTGTTTTCGTTGTTTGACAGCTTCTAAATAGTTGAGAATTGACAGTAGAACTCGATAATGTTTGATATTTTGGTATTTTCGGTAGAAAATAAGTATATTCATAAGGTTTTCGAAGAGTTTTAAGGAATGTATGAAAATTACGAAAAGTTCAACATGCTTGAATGTTACATAGAAAGTAACAAAAATGCTCAGGCGGCAGAAAACTTGTATTTCCAAAGATGTCCCGAACGACAGCAACCATCCAGGGATATATTTGCTAGACTTGCCCATAATCTCCAAAATTTTTGTTCTTTCAACAAACACAGAGCAAGTTATGCTCAAAATAAAGAAATTCAAAATGAAAATGAAATAAAAACTATAACCGTATTGGGAACTTTATATCAAAATAATGGTAAAACTTCCACAAGAAAACTTGAAGCAGAGACTGGCATACCCAGAAGCACAATCCATCGGATTTGAAAAAAAATAAATTCAAGTCCTATCGAACTCGCAAAATCCGCCATCTTCTTCCTTAAGATACAAAATACCAGATTTCGCCATAAATTGTATTTGGACCGACGAAGCTTCGATTAGTAGTGCGGGCATATTTAATCGATTTAATGATTACACTTGGTCTCAAGAAAATCCCCATGTGACTGTTCAAAACAGACAACAAGGAAGATTCAGTTTTAATGTGTGGGTACTGGGTAGGAATTTTCAGAGGACAATTCATTGGACCCTATATTTATGATGGACCGCTGAATTCTAGAGAATATTTGGATATTTTAAGGAACCAGGTTGAACCGTTCTTGGAAGATATTCCTATTAATCTGATACCCAGAGCAGTTTTCCAGCACGATGGTGCCCCTGCACATTGTGCAAGGATTATCAACGATTATCTCAATGTCCAGTTCGGTGAGAAGTGGATGGGAAATCAAGGGCCCATACAATGGCCTGCCCGGTCACAAGACCTGACGCCCTTAGATTTTTTTCTTTGGGGTAGAATTAGAGACTTAACTTATAAAAATAATAATTTTAATAGCCGGGAAGAATTAGAAAGGGTGTTGCGAGGTGCGTTCAACCGAGTTCTAAATATACAACTCATTAATGCAGTTAATGCTGTTACCAAAAGATGTAGAATTTGCCTTCAACAAAATGGGGGACAATTTGAACATTTGCTGACATAATTTCATTATGTTTGTGTTCATGTTTTTTCAATATCGTTGATTATGTTCCATGTAATTTTATGTTAGGATTTAGTGTTAGTGTAATATTGTTGGTTTGTTGTTGTTGTCCTTCGTATTTTAAATAATTATAAATTCATTATGATAACTATGAGTAATTTAATCATGAAACTTCAGATCTGTAGTTTTAATCATAACATGTCAGCATACTATGTCATTTTATTAGTCATGGCAATATCGATTTCTGTAGGAACAATATTTTAATTTTTAAATCGTAATGTTGCTGATGGTTTCTGAGATAAACATGACGAGTGATACATCGAAATTTAGGAAATTTTACGAGCTGTTCAAAAATATCATAATATATAGGGTGGTCCATTTAGAAAAACAGAGTTTGGGATGGTGCACAGCAATCTGAACGCCCTGTAGAAAAACTTCTCATCTCAATAGATTCTATGGAAAAAAGTGCTCTGAGAATATTTTTACCAAAATGAATTATCTTCCTTAATAAGAAAGTTATGGGGCATTGAAGAAATCGACGAAATTCGAGAAACGCCCTCTGGCGGTCAAACGATAAGATATAGCAAAGTTTCGTTCGCGCCAGTGGTTTTATCATTAAATTTGAGCTCCGGACACCTTGATTACATTTTTCCTATCTCTACAAATAAGAGGTGTTCCCATAAGAACGCGTCCAGTTTGGGGCACCCTGTACAATGACATTCACCATGAATATCGATAAATTTGCCCACTGTTACGCCACTGGAAATATTATTTCCAATCTAATTGCACTAAAAGAAGCTTTATATTACTATCAATAAAACCACAACGTCCAATTGGAATTGATGACAAGACAATTGAGAAATAAATAGAAACAATATTTTTCATGGAACTATCAATACCCTGTATCTCGAAAACGAAGCAAGTTAGAACACAATTTTATATTAACTTTATTTCCTACAATATCACAAGGAATCGCTCCCTGATTTTTTTCGGTGTTATTCAGTGTTATACAGGAATGGTATATGAGGGAGAATGCCAAACAATTCCCTACAACATAATTTTGGAAAACAGG